GAGAGAATAACAGATGGGTTGGGAGTGGCAATGGAAGGGAAGAAAGTCACAGACATTTTGGGGAGAACTTGTGATGTTCATGAAAAAGGGGCAGGTTTTCAAAATGAGTGTTAAAACTCCTAAAAGAGCATTTTAAAGTGAAATACAAACATTATGTGTAATTGTAAAATAAAGGATAGTGAGGTGTCACTTTTTGTTCTGAACTTTTCCTAAGTACATTTGAAAGTAATATAGATAACGACTTTCCCAAGTTTAGGCTATGTGCAGAGATATGCATCATTGTCAAAATCTTCCTTTAGCTAATTAGATCATCTTCTCCAAGCAAATTGCTTTAAGAGAGGAGAGCAGACTTTTTGAATGTGTCCCCAAGGGGAAGAAGTGTCCAAATTGCTGATAATCAATCATGTGTAGGTAAACATGAGGCTCTGTTCTATTTGTTTCCTCTCCATCAGGGAAGGAGGTTATACTATTGTGAGTTCATCTGTGTGGGAAGTCCCCAGTTTTTGATAAGAGTGGGGTCAGACCCCTTCCAACATCTCAGAAATATCCAGACTATGAATGAAATCACACTGTGGAGGCCACCCCAGCATCCCAGAAGAAAGGTCCACAAGAATTTAACATTGGTACTCTTGTGCCTTGCTCTGCTGTTGTGTTGTCATCAAATCACCATCCTTGCAGAGGGGAAGGCAAGGACTGCACACAAAACTACCCTGTATGAAATTTCCCTTTTTCCCATACTTTGAGTCAGGGTGACAGCAGGCATAAAAGCATTTCCACAAGCTCACTGGGGAGCCGATATCTGTCAGCAGGTTCAACTCTATTTGCAGCAACTCCAGTGGCAAGGAGAGTTTTTGTTCTGACAGTCAGAATTCCAGCAAATGGTAAATGCTTCTTCATGCTGAGAAGTGGGAAATTCAATAATACTTTGGCTGGCTTCATGCTGAGTTGCAGCGAAAATAGAATGAATATGGAAAAGGTCTGTGACTTTCAGGGCTGTAAATCAGCTAGCCTGGGTGCTTCCAGACATCAGTTTTCCATTGGAAGCCCTCTCCTGTCTTTGCTCCATTCCTCAGGTAGCAGGGCTGATTTTATACTTTTTCCCCTTTGATGCTATAATCCCTTGTTTATCCTAAGAGACAGAATTGAGCACTCTAAGATCTTAAAAATAACTCTGGTCTTCTACATCTTTATAGAACAATATTTACTATTAAATTTCAACAGGGTTATTTGCTGACAGTCTTTACTGTGTTATGATAACTCAAAGGCAAAGTCAGTCTGGGCATCAGAGAGCTTACAGTAATAGCATCCCTTTTACCAAGATTATTTCTTTTTGTACATGAGTTATAAGTTTTGAAGGAGTTATTAGAATGGATGTCCCATGAGGGCAGGCATTTCTATCTGTTTTGTTCAAGAGCATACAGTAGATGGACTCAGTTTCACTGACTTTCTCTTAGAAACGATTTTGTAGAATAGCTCTGAAATGTGATTCTAGAGAAGAAACTTTTAATAGTATATTTCTTCTTAAAAAGTTACATCACTAAAACTTAATCATCATAGAAAAATTAGAAAGTGTAATCAAAGCAAAGCAAAATAAGTCATATTTATGCTACTTGGAAATAATCACTGCTATGATGTAAGTTATTCTTCCAGATTTTCCCATGTAGATATTAGTATATTTTGTGGTGATAAGATTAGATTATATTGTTTTTTTATTAGGGTATCACACAAACCTCTATTTTTGTCACTAGACAGCCATAACATCTTTCTATGGTGTCACAGTATTATGTTTTGACAATATAACAGAATTTAATTTATTCCCTAAGATTACACATATAAATTGTGCCTAATTTTCTGCGTCGTTTGTATCATTACAAATGCCATTCAATCTTGTTCTTGGAAGAGATTTGCTAAGCTGTTTTTCCACAGGGGTAACCTCATGAGTTAACAGATGTGTCCACTAACCACAAGCCCCTCACGTGGCTCGCCTTCCTATCCGTTTCCTTCGCTGGCTCTTTAGGTGAGAGCAGAGTGACCTTCAGGGAGAGCTGGTATGTAGACAATGGCTCCTTCCCACTTTCTACCTCATATCAATTTGATTCTGATGACAGTTTAACTTTTTTAACCTTTTCATTGACTAGGCACTTCCCAGGAGAACCAAGGAAGCATAACGGGAACCTAAAGCAGAGGGAAGAGGAGGGAGGAATAGTTAGATAATCTAGATAATCAGTGCTTTACCTTCTTTGGTTTACAGGTTATTGATGGACATTATTGTTACCTGAAGCTGGGACTTTAGTCACAGTTCCCCAGTTGTTACCTGCTGTCTTGTTTTCTGTTCCAGGATCCCATTCAAGATTAGACATTACATTTAGTCATCGTGTCTCCTTAGGCTCCTCTTGGCTCTGACAGTTTCTTAGGCTTCTCTATATTTGGTGGCCTTGACAATTTTGAGGAATACTAGTCAGGTATTTTGTAGAGTAACCCTCAATTGTGACTTTTCTGATGTTCCTCATTATTAAATCAGGGCTGTATATTGGGGCAGGAAGACCACAAAGGTAAAAATTAATCACAAAATACAGTTTCTATACCATATCAAGTGTGTATACAAGCAATATGACTTACTATTTTTTATGTCACCTTGATCTGGATGAGGTCATGCTCATTAGATTTCTTCACCATAAAACTACTCTTTGTCCCCTTTCTATTCTATCCTCTTTGGAAGAATGTTACTATGTCCAGCGCATACTAATTTTCCTCCTTCTTAAGGGTAATATAGATACATAAGTCATTTGGAAATTTACCTAACAGATTTGTCTATTCTTTCACAATTTTTATTTTTTCAAATACTTATTTATGTCAATATGGACTCATGGATGTTTATTTTATACTTTGGGTTATAATTTGAAACTGCCTTACTTATTTTGTTGTCAAAGCAAGTTTTTAGATATTTCATTTGGAACTCTTCTAGTTTATCATTCTTTTCAAGCATTTTTTAATTTTATGCCTCTATGATATGATCCAAAACTGTATCTTGTGTATTTTTTGGTCTTAATCCTAGAATCACTCGTTTCTATAAGAAGCTCTGGTTCATTTTATTAGACAGTGGTTCTTAGAGATAAAGATCTGTATATGATGTATGCTCATTGTTAGTGAGGCTTCTGAGTCTGCAGCTTCTTCCCTGCTTTTAGGCCCTTTCAGCTGATATAACCCATGTAAACACACATAACTACTCAAATCTCTACTAAGTTAAATATGAATTCATATTAATGTTTAATCCATCACAAGATTAATACACTCTAGCCTCCTCCTTTTGTTTATCTGTAAATTTTCATACCAATAATTTTCACTGTCTGCTCTCCATTTATAAAATAGTTCAATCACAGATATATACAAAATGATATTAGAATTGTCAACCTGTATTAGAAGCAGTGTTATCAACCAGAATACAGTGCTTGTGTATAGCTTCTTTGATCTTACTGATTCTGCTTATATCCAAAGCTATTTAGGTGAATGTCTTGTCTTCCGTTCTGTTCAGCAAGGTTGTTTCTTACATTTTGCTACATTTTGTGTTTCCTTCTGGGATGCCCTTAAGTTCCTAATTTTCAAAGATTTGCATATATTAGGATCACTCTCACAATGTTTGGGTTTTGACAAATGCATAGTGTCATGTATCTACTCCTATAATGTCATATAAAATAGTTTCATTTCATCTGTTTAACCTTCTTTCTTCTTTCCATTTCCTGGGATAGCTCTGATCTTTTCATCATCTCTGTAGTTTTAACCTTTCAAGCACATCATATAAATGAAATTGTATGGGATGTGGCCTCTTTGGACTGATCTCTTTCACTTAGTGATAGGCATTTTTTAATGTTTTTTTTTCTGATTTGATAATTAATTTCTAAAGTATAGTATGTACTATACTTTATCAGTTCACCTATTGAAGGTCATCTGGTTGTTTCCAGTTTTGGGAACTTATAAATAAAGATTCAAGCAGTTATTTGAGTAAACTCTTAGGAGCACAACTGCTGCATCATATGGCTATGTAAAAGCTCCATGAGAAATTGACAGATTGTCTTCCAAAGCAGCTATACTATTTTGCATTATCAAAACATTTAGCAAGAATGAAAGTTCTTGTTGCTCTGAATCCTCCTCAACAACTGGATTATCAGCATTTTGGGATTTCAGCTTTATATAAACACAGAGTAGAATATCATGATTGTTTTAATTCATAATTCTTTATTGACAAAAGCATCTTTCCTTGAGCTTATAGACATATATCTTATTTATTATTATTATTGTATTTAGGATTCATTAATTGCACAAGGAGGTTTCATTTGAACATTCCATATATGTATATAATGTATTTTGAGCATGTTCATCCCCTCTCTTATGCTCCCTTAACCCCCCCTCTCCTCCCTCCTTTTTAAAAACAATATTTGGTGGGTTTCTTTATGCTGTCTCCATATGTAACATCTTCTTTGGTAAAGAGTCTGTTCAGCTCTTTTGCCCATTTTTAAATTAAGTTGTTCCTTTGCTTATATTTTAAGAGTTCTTTTTATATTCTGGACACAGGACCTTTATAGATATTTTGCAAATATTTTCTCAATGCTGTACTTTTAATTACCACTTTGGAATTCAGTGCCACTTTCCAACCTCAAAGGCTTGCATATAATGCTAAATGCTATGAATGACATGATTCTGCCTCTGGTTTCACTTTGCTGTTCCCAAAAGTGATCCCACTGCACCCTCTCCTTTCCTCAACCCCATCCATTCCTTGTCAAAGAACCTTTATGTACTGGTGTCATCACTGTCTATCTTTTGGAATTTCTTGTCTTTATTCATTTTAAGTCAATGATGAAGTTCATAATCCCAGTAAGAGTCCAACCTTACTTGTTTTCTGGCTCAGAAGAGATAACTTTAGAGGAAGTTGGCCACAATATTTAGTTTATGCCATGTTATTGGTGAGGCTAATGATTGTCTGTCTTCCTTTCCATGGCCAACAGTCATCAAGCCTCCTTTGCGTCACTTTAAACGCCCTGCTTATGCCTCTAGCTCCTACGTATCTTCAGTTCCAAAGAAAACTGATGATCATCCTGCAAGGTACAAGATGCTGGATCAGAGGATCAAAATGAAAAAGATTCAGAATATCTCACATCACTGGAACAAAAAATAGAGCAACACAAAAAAGAGAAGGAGTGAAAGAGGTCCTCCCTGTCTGCCTCTCAGCACCTACTGGACACAGCAGGACATGCCTTCCAGATCCTTGGAGGTGGACAGAGCTGGTACCATCATGATTGACTCCATCATGTCAAAATGAAGACTGTGTGTGATTTTACCATTTGTCATTCTTTTATTGACTCATCAATCACTGGATTTAGGGTCAATCCAGACTTCTGCAGCAAAATAGTAAGCAGATTGTTTCATGTGGCTTTTATCGTGTAGGTCTTTCAAAGCGTAAAAATAATACATAATATCCACAAAAAATGAAGTTCCTCTGTGTATTTTTAATCCCTAGGACTTGACTTTCCCCATTAAGAACATTAGTTTTATAGTTGTCATAGTTAAGAAATGCATTTCTAAAAACATCTTTTCCAATTTTAAGTATGCTTATTTATAACTTAAATACATTTATTTAAAATTCACATAAATATGTAACTTTCAAAATAAGCACATTTAAAACAAAAGTTATGCTTCTGAATGTAACAATCTTAGAGGAAAAGCTGACTAATGAATGTTGTGCTCAAGGATATTTCAGAATTTAGGTGTTACAAAGTGGACCTAAGTTAAAGAAAAACAAAAGATCTTTTTGATTTCTAATCATCTCCAGTAGCCTCAATGTATCTTCAAGGATCTGAGAATTTTCAGAAGATCCATTTTCTTCAAATTCTTTCATTCCACCACAGTGGACAACGCTAGTTACCCATGTGACACCCATGCCCTGATGCCTCCAGGTTTGAGATCTACCACGGGGAACGTGGGTTTGCTTTTTTAATTCTGGAGGAAGAAGGTGTCAAATGATGAGTATAGTTTTAATTCCTTATTTCCAGATTTTTGTCCATAAGTCTAGGGATGCCTGTAGGTTTAATTTTGGGTATCTCAACAGAGCACATATGTGAAGCCCTTTGGGGTTCCATTTACTCTCAGAGCTGTTCAGGGTGGCATTTTAGGTTTTCTGTATCTTCTGGAGAGTTTTTACTTTGGGACTAACATCACAGAAATGGAAAAGAAAGGCTCAAGGTCAGAGACAGCTTCAGATATCTCTAGAAATGACCTGGTATCTCAGAAAATCTAGGCTTGTTGTCAGCAGGTCTGAGTCTGTTTGTCTCTAATGTTTGGCAGGTCTTTAGTCTAAGGGCATGATTTTTTAGAGCATCAGTTTGCTTAACTAGACAGTGGGATTCATAATAACCACTCTTCATTTCATGATGAGGATGAATGATATTGTTGATTTTGTTAGATGTTGCAAAGTCTGGAAAGTAAGAGGTGCAGAAGCAGAAGTAGTTAAGAGTTTTCCATATTCAGAACAAGCTTTTCAGGACAGTCTCACAGAGATGGCATTGTCCTTGATGGCCACAGCCTCTGGGCTTGATTGTAAAGGGTTTAGTGGTCTCTCCTCTCTTTGCCTACAGCTCATTCCCAATAAACCCCCGTTACTCAGGAGAACAAGCTCCAGAGTTTAGTGGCCATCAAGCTATTGAACAGTTAATGTGTAATGTGCTTTATTATGGAATTTAAAGGAAATTTAATTGCTGTACAAACAGAAAAATCACTCTGACTTTTTGTTCAGGGTGGCCATTGTGACTCTTAGCTTGCCTGCTTAGTATCTGGGAAAAAAGAAAAATAACCCTCTGCAGACTGACAGTGTTTCCTCCATCTGAATTAGGCTTAACTCAAACACATGATTCTTACCTGTTTGCATGCAGATATTTAGTGAAGGCTGCATACAGCCATTTGGTTACACAATGAGGAACTTCCTTGGTGATATTCTTTATCTATCTCTCATACTTTCAGACTTTGGTGTAAGCTGTGCCTCTTGATATTGGAAGCTATGTTTCTGGGAAACAAACTTGGTTACTTCTGTATCTCTATCTCCTAAGATGTTATTTTTCAACTTTTGCTAATATCTTAGTTAAGCAAATGTACAGATGTTGAGATTCTGCACTACTTATAAAGTGCCTACCAGGTTTTTTCATTATGTACTGTATAGAAATGCAGATTATATTCTTATAGCAAATAAAAAATGCTTTCAAAGGGCTTTCTTGCATGTGAGTCATCTTTTTCTTCTCTGGTATTCATTTGAAAAAAGTTAGATCCCTCCCCACCCCTTAAATTTTTCACTATTTAGCCCTGAAATATCTTGTCAAGTGGAATTGTGTAACTTACCCTTTTTAATGTGTTTCCTGATTGTGTAGGAGATAGCGCCTCTTAAATAATCTCCTGATCATAATTTATTAATATGAATAACTTGTAATAGGGGCTGTGCAGTAGGTGAACATTTGCCTTATCAACTCAGTTTCTGTTATTCCAGGATAAACTTATAATTAAATCCTGGCTCTGCCTTTTGTTTACTCTGGGGACTTAACCAAGCTACATAATCTCCCTCAACTTTAGTTTTCTCACCTATGAAACAGAAAAGGAGGTTTATAATAATACCTAATTCAGCATAACATAGGACGGCTATTGCAGTAAAAATAATTATTAACTATTATTTCTTAGAGAGAGAATGACATATAGAAAATAAGCTAGGCTTTTGAGTTAAAAAAAACAAAACAAAACATGTCCCTTACTAGTTCTGTGACATCAAGTAGGTAATCTTCACCTTTAGTTAAATGTAGTTGATAATTTAACTGCGTGTTATCCTCTGGCTAGTCCTACAGTTTCTGTACCTGTACTGGAGTGTTTAATGTATTTCTACATTTGGTGGGAACCCATTGTCCCCACCGCTAATACTCACTTCACCTGCGTCCCCAGACTTTTAGAGTTCTTAGGCCTCCATCTATTATGGGTATTCTTGTTCTCATGTCCCATTTCCTCTGAATCCTTGACTAGGACCTCCCTGCATCTTACTTTCTGTAATGCTGTCCCTCAATTTATTCTTGCTCACCCTAATCATCCCCCATACCCAATTACTTTGTCCAAAGTTTTATTCACACAGTTTACTACACACAACAGGGATTTCCTGAAGGCTTACTATGATTGCATAGTGGAAGCATTTTCAAGAGCAGAAATTTTCAAGGCATTTGAACTCACTGTGCCAAACAATAAGCATTGTCAAATTTTGGGTCCCTCTTCCGCAAGACAATGAACTCACAGAGGCTTCACAGTGGTAGTTTTTCCTTTAACATAATCCAATCTTTAAGACCAGTCCCTATAAAAAAAATAGCAGTATCAATATTTTTCTTTCTCTTCTCCCACCACCCTCTGACCAGAATAATCTGTAGGAGTTCTGTTATTCTTATCTTTTCCCTATCTAGTTATAATTACAACTGCACGTGGGTGGGCTTGTGATTGCTACTAATAGGTACTCAGAGATTGCTGATTGCCTTCTCTTCCTACCATAAACCAGGTAAGTCTTACCATGTGCACATCTGCTGAGCTTTTGCAGTAGGAGAAGCACTCCAGCATTCTCACTGTTGGCATTTCCAGTTTCACCACAGGATAGAAGAGAGGGTGGGGATAGTCTGTAACTACTATTTTTTAAGTCTACAATTTCCATCCAAATCCCTGTTCCTAAAACAGATGGAAGGCTACTTATTCATTTGCAAGGTTGAAATTTGTTTTCCAATTGGCTGTCAACTTCACTTGATCAATTATATTCTTTTTGATCCATTTCCAATTTTAAAAACCCTATTGGACCAACATCTTCAAAAGCATGGTCTTTTTCCACCACCCTGGATTATTTATTTCTTACATTCTCTAAGGCCAAGATTATACCCTTTATTGAAACCATGTCATGAAGTAGAGTTGGCTCCCTATATTTGTAGATTCTGCATTCATGTATTGAACACACTGTGATGGAAAATGTTCATGAAAAAGTGTATCTATTCTAAACATGCGTAGAGTTTTTCCTCACCATTTTTTCCAAAACAATATGGCACTAACAACTATTTACGTGTAACTTATGTTAGATATTTTAAGTAACCTAGAGATGATAAACTATATGGGAACATGTGCATAGGCTACATGGAAATACTACATCAGTTTCTAAAAGTGTCTTGAGCATTGAGAGATTTTGGTATCTGTGGGGGTTCTGGAACCAATCTCCTGTAGATTCTGAGGGATGACTATTGCTAGGAAAAGTCCTGCAACTGAGCTAACATAACCACTCACAAATTTGAGCTCAGATCAATCCAACCATTAAATGAATAGATATATGAATTGTGAAAGCATCATGCTTTCACAGGCCTATTCCCATTGAACTTAACGAAGCCTTTCACAAGGTTGACCGTATCTTTCATTTAGAAAGTTACCACTGTTCGCCTGTGACAACCACTCTCCTGATTTATCTCCTATTGCCGTCCTTCTCTGTGTTGCTTCCAGTTCTCTTACTCATAGGACTTTCCCCATGATCATGTCATCAACCTTTTTCTCTTTCTCAAATTTCCTCTCATAAAATACACTTTTTCTAAGGTGTTTAATCACCAACTCTATCAGTTTGACTTCTAGAGCTATAAGTCTGTTCCCATCACTCTCTCTCAATCTATCTTTGCATTCCTAACTACTGGTTTGACTTCTTCATCTGATTTTCTCAGAGGTATTAGGAGCTTCTTTCCCAGATTCTTCTGTAATTCCCAAATTGTCCTCTTTTTGATGGCTGTATTTCTGCTCTGACTGCTACCATTTTTCTCATTATTCATTCTCAGTCATTGATCTTTATACATTTCTCCAAATCAGTCTTCGCATTTTTCATTTGCCATGGATTCTTCTCTGGAATTTTAGTACCATCTTTAGGGGGATTCCTTCATAGAAATTATAGCCTTCTGTTGCAAGAGATTTTATTCCGTCTTATACAAGACTCCTTCTAGAAGCAGAAAATCTACTTCCAATGACCAGCGGTGGAAGCTTTTCAGGAGAAACATGAAGAATGACTGCAATGTATGTGTTCTTCTTGTTGAAGTTTGGCCACTGCTGTCTCAGCCAATGGACTTCTTACGGATTGAAACTCAACATCTTACCATAGCACTTGAGTTTACAGAGAGGTCTGATTTCACCTGATACCTTGCTCAAGATCTTGACTGCCTGTTCCTATCCCACCATATTCATCATGAAGAGATCAAATGAATTCCAAAACATTTGAATTCAAGCATGATAAGCCATAAAGGCATGCAGATACCACTGTTAATGAATAAATATGTGGAGAATATACTAATTGCGTCTTTTCTGTAGGACAGAGTTCATCAGGAAGTGACATCTACTTTCAGCATGATTTTGTACTACTCACCTTCACATGTAGCAGTTTCTTGACCTAGCTTGTATTTGGTTTCCTTTCTGTTTAC